AATACAATGGTTGGCAAAGAGTAACCATGTGACTGTTTAATACAGTGGCTGGTAGAGAGTCAGAAATTATTTATACCGGAAATTAACAAACGAGCAGATAGCAACAGTATTTTTCTTTCATGCGCAAAAACCCAACGCGTTAAATTTGTTTAAATTTACGAGAATTTTTGATTTAAAAATATTACCATACATTAATATTCTATAAAATATTGAAGGTCGCATGCTATAAACATTTCACTAGTGTCATAATAAAACATTTAAATGATACAAGATATATTTTATTTTAAAATCATTAATTTTTGTGTACTGTGAGTAACTACTTGGTAAGTTGCTAATCGGGAAATTCAATAAACAACGCATTGAATATATATCTTTACTTTTCATGAAGGATAATTATAATAGATGTACTTCCGCAGGGTTCCCGAAAATATTCTGTTTCAAGGGTAAATAAAACCAAACTTAAGAATTTTTTTCTTGCTTTTCAAGTTCATATGTCATGCTGTGTTGTAGCCTATACAGTGCTTAATTCTTCTCTTGATTCATTGCATGTTTGACTGATGTCACGACAGTACAAATTGCAACGTTAGGCGTCCCTTATGTGACTTTATTTCAGTGTATACCAACTGACAACAACATGCTACTGCATAGTGGTACGCTAGGTTAAAACCAGTGATTCCTCTAGGCAGCCTTCGGCCTACTATTATTTGATTGGTCAGAATTTGTTGGTTTGTTTGTTTTGAATTTCACGCAAAGCTACACGAGGGCTATCTGCGCTATCCATCCTTAATTTAGCAGAGGGAGGGCAGCTAGTCATCACCACCCACCGTCAACTCTTGGGCTACCTTTTACCAATAGTGGGATTGATCGTCACATTATAACGCCCCCACGGCTGAAAGGGCGAGATGTTTGGTGGTACGGGGGATTCGAACCCGCGACCCTCAGATTGTGAGTCGAGTGCCCTAACCACCTGGCCATGCCGGGCCGATTGGTCAGAAATGTCTGACAAGTAATATATATATATGTATACAGGGTGGGCCAAAAGTAGGGTTACAGTTAACACTTAAACATTTTTCCTTTATTAGAAATTTAGACATTTATTTACATACATTATATTTACATATTAGATATTTTACATTAAACATTTAATCTCTCAAGTGCTCAAAGTGTCCACCTTCAAAATGCAACAATCTTCAACTCTGTCCAGAACACTCTGACACACAGTACGACACAAATTCCGATCTCTATCAATTTCAGA